CCAATACTGCAGTGTATCGTAGAATAGATCAAAAGGGCTTTACTATCTAGGTTTTTTAATGAATTCTTTAGGTACATGAGAATACAAACACAGAATCCTTCTTAGGTACACAAAAAATGTTTGTTTGAACAAACTCATGCTACAAATCAAAAAATGTCCCTTGAGTTCTCTAAGTTTGAATTTTCCAGTATCCTCATGGCGTCATCCAACGTGTTCTCATGAACTCTGCATATCCTGTAAATGGGTAGATAGATTTAGAGGCCTGGTCAGTTTTTTTTTTCAATATCTTTTATCAGTTGTGTTGGGCACTTCTTATGTGAAACATATAGGAGGCACGTAATGTCTGGTTGTCTTTTTCTGATATTAAAATTCTGATCAATGAGTTCAGCTTGATTTATCCAAAATAAAGCTCCCCATCAGCTTTGTGCTTAATAATTTTAGTGGTCATTGATGATTATTTCATAGATCCACTATTTCATTAGGATTGAAATACAGCGATTTTTTTTATAATTTCTTCTTCATTTATCAGCTGGAATTATTCTACAAAGAAGAACTTTCCCATATCAACTATTTTTCTTATCTTGTATTGGTTAGGACAGAAAAGGCAGAATAAATTGTTGATTCTTTCCCTTTATAAGTTTTGCAATACAGGTAAGAAAAAGAAATTCTAGAGGTCATTTTAATTTGTCCCAAAGCCTAAAATTTTAGCTAAAAAAAGAAGAAAGTTTTTGCAAATTACTTTGAATGTACGAAGTACTTTATTTGTTACCGAGCAAACATTTATTGAGTGACTACTATGTTTCATTTTCTGTGTTAGGTGCTGTGGAAGATACAAACGTGAATTAGACCTAATCACTGCCTTTGAAAATCTTACCATCTGTGATAGTTCTCAACTTAGGACTTCTTGGCTACAAATCTATCCTTCTTTGCCTTGTTTGTATTCTAGAACTGGACCTTGTATACATTTCTGCTTTGACAACTGGCAACCTGTTAGGCTTGGCCAATAGAGGGTGCTGGAAAGACACTGTGAGGCCAGGCCAGGATGAAGGACTTTCCTTTCTCCTTCTGGTGCACTCCTTCCTCCAGGAGCCAGGGGATTCTCTTGCCCCAGAGGTATGTCTGAGCTCACCTCAACAGTCCTCATGGTTTAGTTGTGGCCTGTGCCTCCAGCAAGTTTCTTCACCACACATGGATGGCAAGTTCCTGTGACACGTCATCTCCTCTAAATTTCTAAGTTGTTCTTTACTGTTCATTCTTCCTCAGCCCAGGGTAGTAGCTATTCCTACAGTTCGTGCATCTATCCCCCTTAGAGTCTACTCTACCCCTTTTAGTAGTTAGACACCTTTGACTGGCTATAAATTTATAAAATTTTCCCTGTTCAGGTTACTAATATGGTTTCTGTCTTGTGGTTGGTCCCTAGCAGATATACCTAGCAGATAAGGAAAATAAAAGACAGACATAAGTTAATATAAATTCTGTGGGAGAAAGGCCACTGTAATCACAGCCCAAAGACCAAAAAGCTTCAGGTGTAAATCTACAGAATTATGTATCAGTTTAAGTTGTGTTCGGCTGCATATAACAAAACACTGACCTCACTGGCTTAACCAAATAGACATTTATTTTCTCATGTAACATGGACTCCATAAATAGGCAGTTAAGGGCTGCCATAGCTACTCGAAAAAAAAAAAAAAAAAAAAAAAGTTAAGAACTCAGGCGCTCTCTCTCTCTCTTTAAATTGAGGCATAGTTGATGTATAATATTATACAAGTTTCAGCTGTTTCTTGATATGGTGATTGCCTTCCAAGGAGAGAAAGAAAGCTTCAAGACTTTCTAAGGCCTAGTCCAAAAGTCACACAGTGTCACTTCCAATGCATTCTCTTGGTAAAAGCAAGTCGCAGGTTCAGCCCAGATTTAAAGAGAGGACTCTGCTGCTTGATGAGACGAGTGGCAAAGTCACATTACAAAGGGGTGAGCAGGATAGAAGGATTGTTGCAGCTATATTTAGAAACGATTTTTCATACTTGTCTTTGCTGCCCCATTCTTTTCTTTCCCGTGCCATCATCACCCAAGCTTATCAGATACCACCAAATTATGATGTCCCATAACTTAACATGACTGTCCCCACCGTCTTAAGAAAAACTAGAGAGGATTAAATACTTCACAAGAAGTCCCCTGTTTATCTTTCCAGTCTCACTCTACTCATCTCAAAAGGTGCTTTTTTTCTTCAAGCCTCTTGAGTGCAAACACCCACTGCCTATCAACATGGGTTGGTGTCACTCAAGATCCACTTCCCTCCTTCTATCAGCCTTAGGGTGCAAAATGCAGCAAAATATGAGTAAATCTACCTAGAAAGCACCTTGGAGACACATGCCATGCTCAGAGCCCTGAACAGAACAGCCTAGGCTGTGCTTTAGGACCCTAAGTCCAGTTTCTAGCCTCCAGCTTGTGTGATGCAGATGTGCTTCCTCATTCTTCAGTCTTTCTTCCTCTAGCAAATAACTATTGGATCCTTTCTCTTTCTTTATGTCAGTCTATCTCTGTCCCTGTATCTCTGTCTTTCTGTCCCTCTGTCTGTCTGTACCTCTGTATTTGTCTTTCTCTCCCTCTCTCTGTTTTACACACAGCTCCCCCACATGCACCCTCATTCTCAAAGGTAGAACATCTGTTCTTTGAATACCTAATATTCTTCATAAATATTTAAACTCTAACTCATAGAACCCACAAAGGACCTATGCTCTCCTAAGCCAGTTCATCTGCTTATTGACATGTTGACACGTGTCAGGCAGGGCCTGAACTCAGACTGCACCTCTCCCTGCTATTGACAACTAGCCCATATGTACCCTGGAAGGGAACCTGCTAGGGGTCCTGGCTTCTCCCTTGCCTCTTCCTCAACGGTTACTGCTACTGATGATGTATGGCTGAAGAGACAGGAATTTCCTATAAACAATCTCCATATACAAAATCATTTAGAATGATGTTTTTCTCTTAAGAGGGCCTATTACTGAGGTATAAGGCATATGATGGTTAATTTTATGTGTCAACTTGACTGGTTGTGGAGGTACATAGTTTAAACATTATTTCTAGACGTGTCTGTGAAAGTGTTTATTGATGAGATTAGCATTTGAATCTGTGGGCTCGGTAAAGTAGATCGGCCTCCCCTATGAGGGTGGGCATCCTCCAATCCACTGACAGCCTGAATAGAACAAAAGGCAGAGGAAGGAAGAAATCCCGCCCTATCCCCTTCCAATCTCATTGTTCAACTGTGACATCCCATCTCATATCTTCTCTGGCCCTCAGATTGAGATTTATGCCATTGGCTTCCCTGCTTCTCAGGCTTTCAGATTCCAGTTGAATTATACCACCAGCTTTCCTGGGCCTCCAGCTTGGATATGGCAGATCATGAGACTTCTCAGCTTCTACAGCCACATGAGCCAGTTCCTCATAGTCAGTTTCTCTCTCTCTCTCTCTCTCTCTCAATCTCCCTCTCTCTCTCATGTATGTATGTATAGGTATGTGTGTGTATATATATATATATATATATATATATATATATATATATATATCTCCAACTGGTTCTGTTTCTCTGGAGAACCCTAATACAGAGCATTATTGTTTATTCTACTTTAGATATCACAAGATGTCTTACCACATACTTCAGGTAAGGCTGAGTACTTAAGAAAATATACTAATAATCTCTCTTTGAACTGCACATGTGAATTAACTCTATTTACAGGCTAAAGATTGAGCCTAAAATGATTAGCTTTCATGTGATTTTAAACCATTTACATTTGAAGCTGGATCAGTGACAAAGTCTTATTATTCTTCCAGCTTTAGTTCTGAGGGCTTCTCCCCAGGATTGCTGCTAGATACTGCACTTTTGCGCTAACTAGAAAAAGAAGTGATCCTCTGGGTCCACTTTGTCCCATGCCACGGGTCTAGGCCCAAGGGGTGGGTTTCAGTCCCCAGCCATCCCTTCAGCTGAGCATAGTAGATATTTTATCTCTTATGGTGACTTGTATCAATCCAGTAGTCACTTGTTAGAACACTAAGTCAAATTTACAGAATTCAAGGACGTATCAGAAGTCCAGATGGAGCCATTTTTTCTGAGATATCTCTGTATTCGTCTGAAGAAAACAACTCGTCCAAAGTTACCAAAAACAAGTGTTAAGGTTGGGCCAGTTTTGAAAATACTGAGACTTTTTTTATTCTCTGGCCCTACTTGAAAAAACATTTACAATCCCTTAATTCTTCCAGTCACAGAACTGGAAGAAAACTTGACCTCCCTCATTTTACAAAAGGCAACTTTGTGCTCATTTGCTCATTCCTTTGTCCCAGTAGGCCAGGCCTACTTTATCCCAAAAGGTTAGCTAACTTTCGGAACCCTTTTCCAGATTCCTTTGAAGAAATGTATGTATGGCAGTGTTGGGGGTGGCGGGATACAGCATAGTGGTGGAGCACAGGCTTAGCAAGCACGAGGTTCTGGGTTCAATCCCTAGTACCTCCATTAAGATAAATACATACACACACACACACACACACACACACACA